ACGAAGTTGAACAATCTAGCAGAATCTTGTGACAAGATCACCAGGATACTAATAGAAATTTAGCAATTTGTTGGTGATTGATTGTAAATGTCACATGGTTATCAGCGCAACGTCCTGCAAATCTTGTCGAGACATTTTTAAAAAATGCAAGTTTTTGTAAAGCTTTACAGAAAACTGTAGTTTTTATAAATCCCTTTGTGACATCAGAATAAGATCACCACTATCTAACAGGAATCACATAATGAGATCACCATGAGGATTCTAATTTTACTGTATTGTGAAGATGTGCCCATGAGATTTTGGGAATGCATGGAAATTTTATGAAGTTGCAGAATCTTGTGACAAGATCGCCAGGATACCAATAGAAATTTAGCAATTTGTTGGTGACATTACAACGAAATGTTTGCAATATTTTTTGATTGTAAATGTCACATGGTTATCAGCACAACATCCTGCAAATCTCATCAAGACATTTTTAAAAAATACAAGTTTCTGTAAAGAGGTGGTGAACAAAGAAAAATGAATTGCAGATAATTTCTATTGTGATTGGACTTGTAGCTTTAGTGCTGTATATATTATTGAAAAAGATGAAAGATAATCTATTTATTCAGTGGCTGCTGGATTTGTTTTCGTTTTTTCCTTGGTTCATCATAAGTTGGGATTAATGCTTGTTTATGATTTTAAGTAATTTTTTTCTTTATCCCTCAAGAATTTTGGTATCATTATCATTAATTTTAAAACGTAAGGAGCAATTTTTTCTCTTTAAGCTTTCTTTAAAATGCTTCTAATTGTACTGTAACTCTTGGGTTCCATAGTAGATTAGCTTCATCTATTTTATTTTTGTAGATAGAGGTAATCCTATATTGGCATAAAAGTGCAATCTACATAGTAACAAATTTGTGTACAAGTTATTGCTGTGATAATCAAAATGTTATTAGTCAAATTAGTTAACTTTTAGCCACATCAGCCTCTCATTTATGTCACATAATAGAATGTTCACTTTGTTGCAGTCTGCGCCCATATGAAATTGCAACTCAACAAAATTTTGTGAAATGTTAAGTGACTGTTAGGATGTCATCCCGCACAGTCGAAAGTGTGGACAGAGTCTAATAAAAAACGAGTCCAAGGGTAGAAACGCGTTATAAGAAATTTGCGATAAAGAAGATTGAGCACGTAAAACACGTCGCGTTGTAAAAAATTTGTTGATAAGAAAAGTTACGCGTGATACAGGAATCAGCCAATAATAACAACCATGCAATAGCTTAATCGAATTGTCTGAACAAATAAATTAGTTAACAAAGTTTTGCGTACTATAATAAAAATAATAATAAAATCTATAAATTTGATTAACCTTCTTATTACTATAAGAAGGAATTTGGTCTGTAGTAAATACTGTAATATATCGCTATGTCATGTGACATTGCTATAAATTTCAAGGATATGATCTACAGTCCAAATAAATCATGGCAGGCCCGAGAGGCTCACACGTAGTGTTTGGTATGGAGACTCTATGAGCCGGGATTTTTCACTGTCTTTTGTCGTAAACGAGTATTAAACTTTCCTATGTAACACAGTTGGAAATATTCCCTACGAGTTAACTGAAGAGCAGCTCACCGAGATATTCAAGGAAGTCGGACCAGTAGTATCCTTTCGGTTAGTGTTCCAACAAACATTTCGAATATATCTGCTGATTACGAGTACTAAATTATACGCTTTATAAAGACTCGTATTTGATAGGGAAACCGGTAGACCTCGCGGCTATGGGTTTTGCGAGTATCACGGTAAGACTACATTGCTTCTGAATTCCCAAAGTCGTTTCATTTTCTAATCCGTTTACCTAATTTGAAAGATGCTGAAACGGCTGCTAGCGCAGTGAGAAACCTAAACAATGTCGAAGTAGGTGGTCGTCCATTGCGAGTAGACTACGCTGACGGTGATCCTGCAGCAACGTCATCATCTGCCACAATGGCAGAAAAGAGTGGTATTGAGGGAAGGGGCATGCAGCCAGCGGTACAGCAAAGTTCATCTTCCCAACAGCCACAGCAAACGCCATTGATGACACAAGCTTCGCTTCCGCAAGGGAGCGGTCCGCAACAATCAGCAGTTGATACGATTAGCAAGAATCTTGCGACGATGAGTCCAAATCAGTTGTATGATGTTCTTGCGCAAGTCAAGGTATTGATCAAGATGAAGTTTATTCGGTGAGATGTTGAAACGTTTCTCGAAATTTGTAATACAGTGACAATAGAGTAATGCGAGCGGACGGTGATCGTTGAGAATGGCTGCTAATCTGATTCTTTGTCTTCGATAGTTATTAATACAAAATAACATCGACCAAGCGCGAGCCTTATTGACTCAAAATCCACAACTATCATACGCACTCTTTCAGTCAATGCTTTTGCTAAACGTGGTCGAACCAGCAGTTCTCCAGGTTTTTGATTGCAATGCATCATTTTACTTCTGCCAATTTCCATATTATTCTCATTCTCACTTGTATGCACCATTCTTTTTGGGTATCTCTCATCCTATCACCATATACTCATAATCAGCGCGGTCTCCAATCAAATATACAAGCTGCCCCGCAACCAAACCAACAACCAAACCAACAACCACCTTCCCATCCGCCGCCGCCACCAATAGTATCTAATGTCCCATTCCCGCAAACAGTTCCGCAGCCGGGTAATGTTCCACCGGCCCAATCTCAACCACCTGCAGCAATGTATCCAGGCATAGCTCAACCAGCACCACCGCTGATGCAGCAGCCGATACAATCGATTCAACCGCAACAAATGCCCCAGCAGATGTCTCAGCCTGTGTTACAAGCTATGCAACAGGTTATGGGTGTCCCTGGAACAGCTGGCGGTAAGTTGTTGTCGCTGGGAGTGGGGGAATAGTGAAGCCGGGTATGGGGGGAAATAGTGCTGTTTACGCATGGCTGGGGCTTTTATTTACTGAATCTATTACTACGTTTGTTAGGTGATATGCAAATACAAGAGCAGAGGGTAAGCCGTCATTATAATATCCATCGCGTGTTCTTCGCCTTTTGCGTTTGGTAACACTATGTCCTCTCTGTTTGTAGAATTTATTATTACAAGTGCTACGACTCACTCAGCAGCAAATCGATTCGCTACCACCTGAACAACGAAATAACATCATGCAACTGGTAATGAGTTTAATCCTTCAACTTCATCCCATCATGTCTCATTCCCACTGTCAACACTCACAAATATTGCCTTCATCGTGTAGAAAGCACAGATTATGCTCAGTCAGACACCATAAATTTGTACGAGCAGAAGAAACGAATCTTGTGTTACAGCAAACGAAATGAATGTATGGTTCAAGGAAGAAGAGATTTGTCTATGAATTAATGATAGGGTTCTCTTTCACCTAGAGCTCGCGACATTTACAAAAGAATCCTGCACAAATGTTCGGATTGCACATAACATACTCTGCTAATTCCATTCTAATGCTTGACATACTTGACTTTAGACGTTCCAGATTCTTGTCGCTGCTGTTTTTTCTGTTGTCTCTTACTTAATCCGGGTGTTTCGTTTGTATTGGCTCCGTAGTAAGGTCGAAGTAGAACATCCCACGCTTTGTAGATTGCATACCCAGGAATCTGTTCAGTATTATAGTTAGAAATAGATCATTTAAATAATTACTCACGAAAAGTTGACAAGTTGAACTCACAATCAAATAAAACCACCACGCGCTTTCCCATACTATAGACAACATGTGGATACACCATGTTACATGTATCACATCAAACATATATCTATGACAACGGGAGCTCATATTAGTAAAACTGGACAAGCAAGGCGATGGTCGAAAGGTAAGAGAGACTTACTCGGTTAAACCTTTAGCAGCCAAATCATTTCCAGGGGATATCAAAATACCATTTTGATACCGCGGCGAGCCAAATAGTAGCAGTTGATATCCTAGATACAGTGTTATTCCTGTGGTTGTAAAGTATTTCACAGCTACCCAAGTCGTGAAAGTAGAGTAGAAATAGAATATGCGAATAAGAATGTATATTATCTGTTTCAAAAAAAAGGGTTAGAATGAATATCAGAATAGGTGTAAAGAAGAGGATATAGGTAAGGGTTTACCAACATTGATTATGAGAAATCCATAAAATAGGTTCTTGAGAGTTTTTGCATTTTCTCGGGCAAGCTTCTTGTCAGCCTGACCAGCCTTTTAGATCAAACAAGCAAACAATAATATTGGCTATATGTCTCTTAGTAAGAGAATATAAACTGTTGAATTTTGTACGTACCATTTGTAAGAAATAAATAGGTTCAATCTCTCAAGACAGTTTGTGTTTTCACAAGCATTATATTAATATTAAGCGCACCACCCTATTACATCACAGTTATGTGTCGATCTCCCAAACAAGAAATTACGTAGTCACATAAAACGGATTATCAGAAACTGCTCCAAGCATTACGGTAATAATACCTTTTTTTATTCAAGATTAAATTATCGTTTGTCTTTGGAAGATGCAACTCCTGAGAGAAATACGGGGAGGGGGGGGATCAAAAGTATTGCACGGTCGAAACGCAGATAAGCCAAACGGATTTTGCCTATTGCTTTTATTTATATGTTATAGATTGTAAAGCTGGTTTTAAAAATCTCTACCATTTTCGATTTTTCGCATAATGTCTTGCTAAAGAATCAACTTCTACACAAAAGAGAAGCATTATTGCAATTAAAAATTAGGCCACGATAATGCAGAATTGCGATGTCATCGAACGACAATTACAGCTTATGAACTGTGAGCTTTCAAAAAAGATCAACAGACTATGCTTTATGACATCCATAAAGATAATATTGATGGCTATGTATGGTTCTCAAAAACAAACAAAAATTTCTAACATATTTTCTACTGAAATCAAAAACAAATATCTACAAAAACAATTTGCAAGCACTTTATTTTGCATTTCTGCATACCGCGAAAAAAGTCTTTTATTTCGGGCAATAGAAAGAAGACATTGGACTGTGGGGGACTGGAAAAAAAAACTGGGCGGATGGGTCTAAAGTTTTCAATTTCGAAAGCCTGGTTGCAATTGGGGAAGAATGTGAAGAAAGTATTCATGAAATTGCATTTAATTAACAGTAAAACATTCTCCACAAAGGATGTAGCAGGATTCATTATGCGAAAAATCGAAAATGGTAGAGATTTTTAAAACCAGCTTTTACAATCTGTAATGCTAACAGATTAATATTAAATCAAAGCAATTACAATAGGCAAAATCCGTTTGAGCTAATATATAGACGAATATGGTATAAAAATTACGTAAGCAGTTACATATTAACAATTTTATTAAATTGTCTGCATTTCGACCGTGCAATACTTTTCCCCTGTACGTTGCCGTGAGAATAAGAATAATGGGTGCTGTGAATCGATGGGAAGCTGATGCCAACAGTTTTGTCGTACCGCAATAGGAATTCTTTTGTTAGGCTGGTTATTCAGTAAGTTTGGCTCTTAATAAAACTGGCCTTTTCAGATCCAACGGGCCTCGCGATTCTCACATCTTCTTGCCTCATAGTTTTTACATTTTTATGCTGATCATTTTACATTATATTATCCCTTGCCTAAATCTCCCACAAGGTCTCAACCGTCTCTTTCATATATTAATATCTCTTGTCTAAATCTCTCACGAGATCTCAACCTCAATCTCGGCCTTGACATCCTCCCACCTGACCTATCCCCTACCGTTGGGACGACTATTTATACACTTTTCAAATCGAAACAAAATATTTTTATTTCAAAATCTAGACTTTTCACATCGAAACAAATCTCTATTAATAAAAATACAAACACGATTATATATGTAGAGTAATAAATATTTGTCGATAAAAAATAAATGCTATTACTATATCGCGGTTAAATAAGATGCTGATAGTTAACGATTTTTAATAAACGTTATTCAAAAACAATTCACTAAATTTTTGCGGTCTTTATTTATTTTTAGACAATGACTGAACATCAACATCGCTGGGAGGTACAGTACAAATTACATCATAATAGAAATACAGTAATTTTTTTATGTATTATGAATTTTTCATTATATTAAAATCACAAATTAAAAAAATTTAAAAACCATATTTACTCTGCTATTAATGACATGCTTGGAAGAATTATTTTGTGGTTTCCTGGAACCTTGCTCCAACTTCATGATTCTAGCCTTAAGTTCAGCATTCTCAGCCATAAGTCTGGCATTTTCCTGCTTGCGTAAGTCAATCTCAGATGCCATTTTTTAATACTCTGCTTGGACCAGCATTTCTGCCGAAACAGTTATGTTATTGTTATATGCATTAACTATTTTTTTGTCTAAAAAACATGTAATTCCACTTTGAGAACTTAGTATTGGTTCACAAAGTTTTGCCATAAGCCGTTCGGTCCGTTCTGCCCAAATTTGAAAACGACCAATCAGAGAATGGCACAAATTGAGGACAAATTTCCGCGTTTCGTTCTGTGTTTTCGATCTGCTGTATGCCGCTTATGAGTTTTCAGAGGAAGAAGACTTCGAATCATCCTTTTCAGTTTTTCTCTCTCTGCATTAACAGACAGGACCTTATTTTTTTTGGTCGCATTTGTTCCCATCACATGATTTTGCGGCCGCCAATCAGAAAGGGGTTAAAATGGAAATTGAACAGGGCTAAAGGATCAGTCAGGACTTTCTCCATGATGTATGATGGTTTATGGTGAAGCTGTCCGAGCAGTTGAGAAGTTGGATTTTATTTTTAATTTGATTCTCAGCAAGTAGCACCTGCCTGTTGACCTTACTCCTTTTACTTCCATTGGCTTCTGTGTCTCCTCCAACAACCAAACAATGTGATTGAGAACTTTCCCATGTTCTCATCATCATATACAACAATCATAATTTCGACAGCTTAAATGATGGCTTTCTCTCCTCATCGAGTGTACTGTTACGATTGGTATATATTTAGGAGAGCGATATTATCTTTCACGTAGGTGTGTTCACCAACCGAGGGATGTTACCAAGCTTACTATAAAAATTAATAAATTAATTATTCGCGTTTAATCAGTCCCTATATGAGATATTTTTCTACTCGTATCCAAATAAGGGTACCAACGATTATCAAACAACAACAATTTAATAACCGTTTAATCGAAGGGGAATTTAATTTTAACTTTAATTCAGGGCAATCTTCGATTTGACTCTTGTCACATGCCATAATTATGCACGCGATCAAGTCCGTACAATGTGATTGGCCCACATAGAACATACTGAAATATCCAAATTTTTCGTTAGTCTCTATTTAACAATACGTATATATAGAGTATGCCTTCTGAACCCGCAACACCCCAGTTTCAAGTATATACCGCCACTCACATTTGCCTTTCCGTAACCTTACACTTTCAACTCGTCGAGTTTCGAGACGCTGCTTTTGTCTGGGTGGGTGCGGGTGGCAAAGAAGTACTCAGCAACCTTGCCGCTGCCATCCCAGCTCTACACGGGGGACCACCCGCGGCAACGACGGTGTTATCCAATGATGTACAAGAAACCTCTAAGCAATTAGCACAGAGACTTGGTATGATTAATAATTTATACTTGATGCGTTTCTTTTAGAAGAAGAAGCAGGATGATTGAGAATGTAATGAATGCATTTTATCCCAAGCTCGGAAATTTAATAAACGGTTCTTTGCGAGCATTAATTTGCCTAACGACCAGAATATTGTACCGTTAGCGGAAAAGAAGATTTTTGAGTTTGTCAAAGAACATCTATCATGATAAGGACAATTCCATCCCCTGTTATGATCATGTATGATCATGTATAACTTGCTATGCGACTCTTATAATAAGCATTATGTAATAGATTTAATCTTCAAGTTCGTCAGTTCCTACTTCGGAATCGTCTACGATCGTAATATTACTTGCCTATCACGCATTAGACAAATTATTAGTTCTCGATTAAAATAGCTGAAACAATCAGAATTTCAAAGTTTTTCTTTTTACCGGTTGCCACACTTGTATAATGTTGTCTTCGGCAGCACTTGCTATGACCCATGGTGCGTGTGGGTTCCAGCTGAAATCCGAGATCTTGTTTGTGTGTCCACCATGCATGAACTACCGAAAAGTACAAGTCAATATTACACATACTGTACATCCGTTAAAGCAGACGCTCTTCCTTTACTGTATGGAAATGTTTCCACTCTCCTAAATAACCACATTTTCATCTTCAGATAATTTACATACCAGTAATTCGGGTGGCCCCTCTTCGGCATCGTCTGCTGTCTGTTCTGCACCAATGCGACTAAGATCCCATATGAGAACCCGCCGATCACCACCAGCAGATGCGAGAATAGTTTCATCATGGGGTGACCACCCTAATTGAATGACTTCGCCTTGGTGGTGCATAAGGGTGTGAAGTTTAATGTTCAAGTTGCGAAGATCCCATAAATTGACCGACTTATATAAACAAAATGAAAAAAAGGAAGAATTTTATTAGTAAATTCGAAACCCGAACTATTCTATTAATCGTACTGAACGACATTGTACCTTATCGCCGGCCCCCGTAGCCAATATGTATTCATTGTGTGGATTAAACGCCAACGTGTTTATTTCACTTGGATGGGCGTTTATGGTATGAGTTGGTTTGTCGCTTTTATCGGCACGCGTGTCCCAACTAAGGTAATGATAGAAATTGTGTATTAATAACTTGAGTGAAGGAAAACTAATGTTTTCTTTATCAACTGATTAAAAATAAAAGAAACAAATAAAGAATCAAGAAAAAGTGGTGGCGTTGTTAATATTGTCAACAACGTCAATATCCAAGATGGTAAAGGGAGTTGAGGTGAGTTCTCACATCAAGAGTTTTTGATCGTCTCCAACAGATCCAAATATATTGACATCTGTTGTATGCCAAGCCACGTCCTACGAAAAGTCAAATTTAACATAGTAAGCGAGGGAGAGTTCAGTTGATAGTCAAACGTCTACTAGTCTACTCAAATGCTATCTACCTCAACTATTGATTCGTGACCACGGTATACTCGGAATGGCTCCATAGTTCGTTCGTTTCCCGAAATATCCCTGTGTACCAAGTTGAGTATGAGCGAAAATAAGACATCAATTTGGCTGTGGACTCGAATATTTAAATACATACCAATGACAGATAGTAGTATCTTCTGATGCATCTAATATATGGCCTTCTTTATGCGGACTCCAAGAAAGCCCATACCTAATGAATCAACTCATTAACAACATTGTAGCTACGCATCATGTTCAGCATCATCGTTAATGATTCTAGCCTTACCCTTCTTTCGTATGTCCTTTTAATTTCAATTCGGGATTACACACTACCTCACCGGTTGGCTTCATTGGATGTTTCGTTCGATCAAATATATAAACGTCTCCTTTAACCGTCTTCGTCGCAATGATATCAGGTTTCTGTGGCATATACCGCGCCCGGTTGACTTCTCCGTCGTGAGGTATTTTCTGAACCACCGTTATCCTATTGCCAACTTGCTCATTGTTGTAATTATTTCCTTCTCGGCATAATGCAACGTATAAGTAGGATTTACAACAAGAAGTAGAATAAATCTTGTAAGTAAATACCTCGTTCTTCTTCATAACGACGTAATTCTGATTCGGAATCTTCTCTCGGTAGTTGTACGTTAGCGACTTCTACATAATTCTGATCACTGTCTGACGTATGAGTTCCAATTAGTAGGTGATGTATTGTATATGGTTTGCCTTCGGGTCTGAATTGCAATGGCAATATTAAAAAGAAGATTTGCAATTAACGCTTTTTATGCCAAAACAAGCACCACGATGTAGCCATATAAATTGACAATTGTGGTTTACAACAGGCTCACTTCGTCAAATTAAGAACGACTCACTGCTCCGTGTCCTGAAACCACTGGCATGTCAGTGATGGCCACTCTAATGCATGTGTAATGACCAAGTCGTATAGAAAAGGGGAATTTTTTTTCCAAATCTTGTACTCTTCATTAATGATTTTTTCATCGCTTGCAGCACGTTCTTGCTTTGACTCTTCTATTAACAGAGTTCAAAGTTTTCATCAGCGTCCGATTTTAAATTTGGTTTTCCCAGATAAATTAACATTATATATCAGATGTGAGGAATTGGTAAGAACATATACCACTCAATTCCTCCCGATCATGTTCTTCCTCGGTTCCGTCTTGAGACATTGTTATCAATTAGCAAAATTGTGGATAGCTCGACGCGCAGTGTCAAGTAAAATGATCCACATCACGTGAAATTTTTCAGGTGAGGGTTGTGTAATAGCAATGTATTATTAGCGATAATAATAAGAATCGCGAAATCAATACTTGATAGAACTGCTGTAAAAGTCTGAATTCACTAAATAAATCACAAATCTTTTGGGCTCGTTCTTGTTTTTCGAAGCAAGCTTTGGCTAACCGATGGAAGTTGAACTCTAACCTCGTCATTAACTAACCCTTGAGCCGTATGCTTAGGATTGTTTTTTCTGTAGTGATTGAATCGTTCCTCGAGTGCTTTCCCAAAATAGAAATATTGACGAATAACTTTTGTATTGTTTTTTTACTAGTTTCTTCGGCATTAATTGTATTTTGATACAAAGCTAGAAAATTGATGGAGTTTTCATTCGATTCAGATATTGGTTCAGTCGGCAAAGTTTCTCTGGAACATCGGTTCTCAATTAATCTTTGCAATGTAGGAGAATCTTCCTTTGAAGCTTGCTTCTTAGTTTTCTTACTGGATAGTTTACTGGTGGGTTCGCCAACACACTTTTTCTAGGACGTATCTTTAAATATTGAAAAATCATTAAATAATGCGGGAGATATATTCATTGGGCCAGTGGTATTTGGACTTCCAGGTGTGCTCTCAACCGTAGTTTCTACCTCCTTCTTGCAATCAGGTCTTGGAAATTTTTGACGATACAGTCGCGATGATATTGTATATAGGACCGCAGATGATAGTAATCGGGATTTTTATTTCATACAAAAAAAGTTCTTGGTTGCGTAACAAGCATGAAACATTGACACCTTCTGCAATAGAAGACATAGCGTTGCGTATATCCAGATAAGTTCCACAACAATTTTCCGAACTTTTTGCTCGCTATTATTTCTTTTAATATTAGGAACAATACTGTTGCTAATCGGAGAGCCGGTTATCTTTTTCCCCCGGAAATCCGACAAATATTGAGTATAGTCATAAAGAGAATCAATTTTTCGATAACGATATTATGGCAAGTTTATTAAAAGACTTCCTAAAAGGTCAATAGACGACATGACCATTGGATAATGTTAATATTACATTATTAGGTACTTCATGCAGTTCTATACTGAAACACAAGCTGGCATTTCACAACAACTTGTATAATTATTTCGTTGTTAAATTGCATCTACGTTATTCCCTCCGCATACATTTCATTATGAAAATCTAGTCGTACGATAACTTGATGTTTTGTCATCGTTCGTGTAGAGAGACAATCATCGAATATGAATTATATCTTGAATTTTGCATTTGAAACTGATGTCAAGTATCGAAGCATGTGGAGAATTCTAGTACGGAGATTTTTCACGGAACCAATCCAAAACTAATAAAAATTGTCTCGATATACCGGATTTTATTAGTAATCTCTCAATAAAGCCTATATCGGAAAGTACTATATGCCAGTTCTATTAAAAATATGCTCGGTATAGCGGAAATAGAGTTATAACGGGTCCAGCCAATCAAATTGTACCATATTAATTGATTTATTCGTGTGTAAACCCTTTCTCCGAATGAACGAAATCAAACCATGAGACCCAAAAAACACAGAATCCAAAGCGAATTACTTTATCAGGCGTACAGAAAAAAGAATTATGCAAAACGAAACAAAATAACCCAAGATACAATTGGCAAAGGAATTTGGAATAAGTGAGCAATCTGTGTCAGACATACTCAAACGTTCTGAATTTTGGTTGAATCTTGATGCCATGGCTCAAATTAAGCGTCAAAGAAAGGTTAATATTGAAGAGGCGCTGTCTATGTGGGTCGAACGTGCAATTTGGAATGGACTTACCATTACTGACCTCAAGTAAAATTGCCGATCGGTTTGGAATTCTGCGTCTGCAGGTTGGATTACGAACTTTAAAAGGAGAAACTCTCTTTCTTCATATCGCCGCAGAGGAGAAATCGGTGATAACGTGTATTTGCATCTTCTGTCTATTTGCATAAAAATCTATCGGTCCCGACGATCTACAAAAGATCTGCATATGACACAATCGTTCATTGGCTATGCGCTACTTTCAGTTGTACAGATCCTGGAAAAGAATTTAAGCGTTACACGCATCGCATCCTTTGTAATTGAACGAACGATGTCCTTAGTTCCAGGGGTTAATAATCCAGCGATTGACAACTTGGTTCAATGCTCCTTGGAAAGTGAAAA